CAATAGCTGAAAGGTGATTCCTAAGAAAACAACACTTGTGTCAATGAAAAGGATCCTCCAGTTAGATGGTGACTGCTTTAAGCAAGTCACAGGTAGAAACAGACCTGTGTAAGTGGCATTCTGGATCCCAAAGTGTAATTTTTTCCAAGAAAATGGCTTCACACCCTAATGAAAAAGGTCAGATACTGTGATTTACTTATTTATTTAATTTTTCCACCTGCTTGTCACGCTTGCACAATATCCAAGAATAAGTAAATAAAGTTCTCCATACACTTCTGGTTCCCCTCTTCCAAGTCCCTGGCAGGTCTCCTGCCAGCCCGTGGAAGAACCAAGGGCCAGGAACTGCAGGGGCCCGGCTCCACAGCAACCCACCAGGCAGGCGGCCACGGGGCTAAGCAAACTGGCAGGAAACCAGGCAGGTTTCTGATCAAAGTTCTGCTGACACGGCCGAATTCCCACAGACATTTTGATTTTAATTGGCGTTTGCAGACTGAAAACGTTCTATGAACAAAGTTCCACCAGCTCTATGCAAGAGCAACAGGACGGGCATAATTACTGAAATGCCACTGCTTAAAAAGAGAGAAAAAAATAAAAAAACTAAACAGAAAAAGACCATTTGGGTATGAGTGATAACAAAAGATGTTTTTAAGTAGTGTTTTTACGTAGCATGCCTGGTCGCCAACTATTTAAATAAATGCCTAAAATGGCCTCTCCAGCACTGCCAAAGCCTGATGCCACCAATCCAGTGATACCACAGGGGACTCCGGAGGAGCGCTTAACACCTCAGCAAGGGTCCTCTGGGGCCGTTGCCCGCCCCCTTTCTTCCTGCGCTGCCTGAGGCGCAGTTGCGGCGGCTGATGTTCCTCTCAGAGTCCTGGCGGGGCTGTCCCTGCTGCGCAGGGAGCCCACCAGTGACCGCAGGAGAAGCGGCAGCGGGAGCTCAGGTGCTGCTGCCTTACACGGGCGGGAGCAGCCGCAGCCCAGCGCGGGTCCCCAGCCGACACTCGCTTATGCAGCGGGAAGACGGAAATCCCGCACGCCACCGCCACCACCACGACTCGGCCCCGCGCACCACGGGCACGGTGACACGACCGCTCCAGCCAGCCGCACCGCGCACCACCCCGCAGCCTGCCACCAGCCTCCCAGCGCTCAGCAGCCCGACCCAGCCTCTGCACTCCGACGGACCAGCCAGCTCCCGCTCGCCTCCTCACCCGCCCGTCGTCTCTCGCGCACCCTGTGCCCTTATGCGAGTGCTAACCCTCGCAACCCGCGGTCCCCAGCACCGCCCTCCGCCCTCACCGCGTACCTCAGGACTCCCGCCCTCCGCTCTCCCACCGCCCCTTCACGGCAGTCCCGCCGCGGCCCCGGCCCCCACGGCCCGTCGCACCCCTACGGTCACGCCAAGTGCCACCGGACTCCGCCCGCCGGTGCTCTGACCTGGACGCGGAGCGCCATCTTCCCCAGCAGCGCGGGGAGCGGGCAGCGGGCCCGACCGGGCCACGGGGTAGCAGCGAGCCACACCGGGCTGGGCTGGCCAGGACCGCGCCGGGGGCGGCCGTCACAGGGGCGGGACGGGAGGGGGCCGTCACAGGGGCGGGCTCAGGGGCCGGCCGGGGCCAGGGGCCGCCTCACGCGGGAGGCGCCATTTTGTGCGCGCTGCCTTACGCGGGCGGGTGACGGTGTGCTGGTGTTGGAGTGTGCCCAGTGGGTCTTGGTGGCAGCACCAGGCAGAGGAGTATGGCCTGACTGGAAAGGTTTGGTTTTAAGTGGGTACCTCAGTTTAGTGCTGCTGTAAGTCTATATTTGGCTTTGCACAATGTACAGGTTCCAGAGAATTTAAGACAGTGACAACAGCAAAAGGAAAGCGTTCCTCAATGAAAATAGCAGAGTTGCTTAGAGGTGATGAGCAGAGATATGTCTGAAGGGACAGCTGTGTCTGAAGGGACAGTTTGCTCACTTAGTCCAGAAAGGGGAGAATCCTCCTTGACAGGTGCTTATAAAGGATCTAAAAAATCAAGATTTGGAGAATAGAGTTGTATTGATGTGCTGATTGACTTCACAACTCGTTAAAGTTGTGAAGGAGATACGCTTTTTATTCAGCGCTGAGATGCAAGGGGATAATTCCTCAAAGTCATGCGTGCCTCAGTGTTGTTTCCCTCTACATTTATAAGGTTGCACCATACACCTATACATACTCATGTCCTATCCCCGCTTCCTGTTACAATGAGCTAGAAAGTCCTTTGTGCCTCCTCTGGTCATGGGCAGGAGTTTCAAGATGAAGTAAATGAGTCTTCCTTCTGTGGGTAGGGGTCTTCAAGATGAAGTAAATGAGTCTTCCTCTTCTTGAACTTTTCATCTTTTAGTCCTCACGTATGGCCTTAGGGTTTGGTCCCAGCCATAAACCATCTGCTTCTCCCCCTTAACAGTAGATTCAGCCGCCTGTTTTTCCTTATCAATAGCTGCTTATCAGTAGAATCAGGCGTCTGCTTTTCTTTGTCAATAGAACCAGGTATCTGCTTTTCCTTATCAATAGTTAGTGCCTTTGTTCTGCTTAGTAGGCATGATAGGTACAGACAATAACTTTGTTTAAGCAATCGAATTCCTCTAACCCCCTTGCACAACCCCCCTGTACAACCCCCGTGTACAACGGTCAACCCTCTGCATCAGTGTCAGTTTCCAGTTGGAGAAGGTGAATCCCATGTTTTGCTAGCCCTGGTACAGGTAACAGGTGGGGTCTGTGATAGCAAACCTCGTTAAATTAACGTAGATGTTTTACTTGTGAAGTACTGCAAAGACAGAGTTGGATCCATAACATTCTGCAGTTCAAGGAATAATTCAGGCTAAGTGAGGAAAGCACTGCATGGAAATCACAAGCAGAAAAAGGCCAACCTCCAAGTTAAGGGCATAAAATGACTTGAACATTGTCTACAAGTGCCTGCGTGGGAAAACCTGTTCTAATGCAGCCAGCTTCTTAACTGTGATCAAAAGTCCATGCCATTTTTATTCTGGTTAGCAGGTGATACAGGGCCTGAGTAGTTTGTGTGAAATCAGTCATGTTTCCCTGCTGTGCCACTGCAGAAATTCCCATACGAAGCCTGGGAGCCCCAGAGAAGAGGCACAAACTGGTAGCATTTCTCTGGAAATGGAAGCTGCTTTGGACCTGTAATAAAAAAGGGAATTGGATGTATTCCTAGCTGGATTCACCTCTTAGAAGTGGGGTTGAGAAACTTATGACAGTCTGATTAGGGCAGGAAGAGTAATTTCTTTGTACGTGAACTATGACAGTTGGAGTTCAGCATCACTGAACTGTAAGCTTTTGCACAAAATAACTTCCTTAATCATTGGAGAATGAAGCAAAATGAAAATGGGAAATGGTTTTAAATGGGGCTTCTTGTTCTCTTGTCCTCACAAGTGACTGGTGTATGGCACTTCTGAGAGTCAGTTAGATTGTACTTGAAAAGCTGGCTCGGCTTCTGCAGTCCCCTAATGACTGCCTCATCCCTGGCATGGGCCTTAGCCTCATTTTTCATCCGTTATCCTGTGAAGAAATAGAATAATTTATCTATAGCCATAGCCTAAAAGAAAAGTCACAAAACATAGCAGGAACCGAATAAAAGAACTGGTGGTAACACACAGAAGAATGGGAACAGAAAGGATTGTAAAGGAAAGCTGACAGAGCAAAACAGAGGAATTCCCAGGATTGAGGACCGGGGAATGGCATGGTGACTTGAAGGTTAGAAGTCACATTATAATGTGGAAAAATTGGGAGACATTCAGATGCAATACAATTACAAACTGTCCTAAGAGCCAGAAGCTGCTTGCCAAGATGGGACAAAAAGAGGAAACTTGCATATCCTTCAAAAACCTTGACCTTGTGAGCAGAGCATCAGCTCTAGCAATGACTATGAATCTCGCTCCAGGTGATGGGCCATTGCCATTAAGCTATGCAAAACCATGCAGAAATAAGGTTAATAAGTTAAACAGTTTAAGAATCGAGTTTAATCTATGGACACTGAGTGTGAGAGATGCACATGCATTGCTAAGTGCTAGCGAGAGCTTGTGGCTTCTGCAGCTATGAGCCACTTTCCAGCTTGCTTGGGGCCAGTGTTTCTTCCTAGCCAGAAACACCTGTTCCCCTTGGGTTTGCAGGTAGTATTGGCAGGTAGCATAGACAGACATTGAGAGCACAGAGCTTGTCCCATGAGGTAGGCAGGGAGCACTTGCTCAGCTGTGTACTCAGCTGCACGGTGGAGCAATGTGACTGTACCTTAATCACCAGTTGAATCATTTTAATCTCCGAGACACAGGCAGTTGCATTTTTGCATGTGATTTCTGTCAACTATAGCCTGATTATTTTAAGGGGGAAAAAAATCGGTCTGGCTAAAGAATTAATGGATTCCTAGACTAATACCTGACTAAACTCCTGAGATTTAACACAAGTAAGAACGTTAGATTGTGAAACTACCCCAGACTGTGTCAGACTCCTAGCCCAAACAACAAAGGTGCATTAAGAATTGTTATTTATTTAGGAGCTTTTATACAATTCCTTTATCTTTTCATAGGAGGGGAAAATGACACAGTGACAATGTTCGTGTGACAGACATCAGCAGGATGTGAAATTCAGACTTGCTTTCATGGAAGATAATAATAAAATTCTTGCTGAGTTCAGTGGAATCTGAATTAAGGAAGGGCTTTAGATCTGCCTCAGAAGATGCACTACTGAGACCTCCCCACAGCATTCATATACAGTTTCCAGCTCATTTCTGCTAGGTGGAATAAAACCAACTTCTTGAATTTTTGTTACTTTGGGAATAGATCTGTTGCTACAGGCAATGCATTCGCAATTATGTCCATTCATTTGCCACACTGCTTAGATAGGGCTGAACCTTTTCCATGCTTTTTAAATTTTATTTTAAGTAACTCAATTAAAGCATATAAACAAAACCAGCCATTTCTAAAACGAACTAGCTATCTGTTTTTTTTGGGGGGGGGGGGGGGTGTTTGCATCACATCAGGATTTTTCCTAAAATGCAGTTTTCTTACTGATAAAAAATGGCTGATAATTTGCAACAAATTATTAAATATATTAAAATATACATAGAGAGACAAATTCAGTATATTTAACTTAGAACCCTTTGTTCTGGGAAGGTTAGCTTAGCTTTTTCCAAGTAGATGTACTCCATCATCCAAACACTCGCAGCCTGGCATTTGGTATGGTTCTGCTACAAGCTTTCGCATTCAAACATTCTTTTATTTCTGGTTTTCGTTTTACATTAACAACAGCAAAAAAGCCTGAATAATTTTAATTCCTTTCTATGGCTAATGATTTCAAAATTATTTTCTGTGCCACTTACTATCCATTGTATATTGCAACAGTTTAGTGACTGGTTTAGTAATCTAATGAATTCATTTGCAATACAGATTACACTTGATCTGGTATATGTCTGCAGATTAAATAGTTCCATAAAAAAAAACAACCAACCAACCAAAACAAAACAAAACCAAAAACCGCTTAAAAAACTTTCAGTGATTTTTACTAACACAATTTTATGTTTAAGTTAATACACAGTGGATAAGCAAAAAAAGTTACTGGGCCTGTCACTAAGAAGAGCAGGAAGAGCCAGTAACAGCAGAATCAGTAGTTAAATATGAAGCCATTTCATACTTCGAATGAAACTAATGAATCCTTTCAGTGACACAGTGGCATACTTTCTGCTCATGAGTTGACAATACTCCAGGAAATCTAAAACAAAATAGATTCTTCTTTGCTTGTTTGCTACCTGGACAAAGATCAATAGTACCTCAGGGCAAACACAGTCTATAGCCAATCTCTTTATCTAACTCAAAGTGAAAGGAAAAATCTGCCTAGTTGCAAAAAAGCACAAACCAGCCAGCGTGTTAAAGAAAATTTGTGATGCACTGTATATACATTAAAACAATCTATGCTGTAGGTATATGCATACAGTCAGGTTACCTTTAAAGCTTCCTTAACACCATTAATTTAAATTACCTCAGTGCATCCAGTAATGACTTTTGTGCATTGGATAAAGATGAGAGGAAATTCTGAGACTTTGCATGCAGATGCCTGAACTTTTAATTCCTTAAACATTAACACCATTCAATAGTTTACTGCTATTCATTCATCCTCAGCCAATGGACACCAGTAGGTATAACTGCCTCCCAAAAGTGGTTTTCATAACTTAGTATCTTCCATCATCCATTAATTCAGAGCCAGAGGCATGCTCATCTGATTGAGTGCACAAGAAACCTTTTCTGAGTATTTGTGAATAGTGCTAGTAAAACTCTGCAGTTGCTTTAGACTGTCATTGCTTCATGTATCTATTAAAAGTAATCAAAATAACCCCCAACAGAGAGAGAACTTGCCCTTGATGAGACTAATGATGGAAAATTTCAAATAAGAAGGAAAATCTTGCTGAAACTTAGGATAAAAGATAGACTAAAGAGACTGAAGACCGTTTTGCAGCCTTCACATTTAGGCTTGTTGCCACATGAACAATCTTTTGATATTTCTAAATACATTATAGAAAAAAGAATTGATACAAGGTTTGGGTTTTTGTTTGTTTGTTTGTTTGTTTTTAAACTATGAACATTTTCTCCAGACAGAAGGCTTGAAAGAAATTACAATTTACATCTTAAAAATGAACATAAAATGTGATCCATTCAGTATACTTTGTAGACAGGTGTGTGTTTAAGGATTTTATTCAACAGTCTGAATGCATGGATTTACAACTGCTCTTATTTCTTGTCAGTACCATGATACACTGCAGCCAAAGTTGAATTTCAGGAAGGTGGATACAGAAGTGAGTATGTGTATTATCAGTGGAGCCATTTGCAGCACAGAGACTACTAGTAGATGTAACAGAGTATGAAAGGTATTGGACAGCAGATGTATAAAGATTATTATTCAGAGTTGTTTCAATTTTCATAGTCCCCTGATTCATATTCTTCATCATCTTCCTCATCAGAATGGTCATAATACTCCCCATATTCAACGCTGTAGCTTGCACTTCTACTGTCAGCAAATGCAGGAGATGAGCCTGCAAGACGTAATTAAATCAGGTTAAATTAGTTGTACATAGGAATACAGAGGAAAGATGGGTTTGGATCTGTATGGCAAGCTCAGTGTTTCTGAACCCTCGTTACCTATTTGAAGGAGAGGGTTTTTACCTGATGGCTTGACCTGAAGCTTATAGGAGCAAATTTCTAGATCATTCACATTTTAAGATGTTGAAAATATATTTAATTCCCTATACTAGTAAACTGAGATTTCAGCCATCTGCAGATCATATATACCTGAATATACTACCAGAGCCAATAGTTTGAAAGCCAGTTGCACAAACAAGGCCAGTGACAAACTACACCAGTGACAAACTGCTCTAGATCACAAGGCAAAAATAAAACAATGCATCTTTATTGCCAGGAAACCCAGTTCTCTTCAGAGGAAGAAGGGTGTTACTCTGCAGGACTAGGCCTGATGCAGAATGATAGTAAAGCTGTTTTCTTACATCTTTCCAAACACTTGTTAAGAAGCAACAACTGTTTCCTTCCTAGTATATTGAAAAATAAAGAGCTAAGCAGAGTTGCCATGGTTCAGGGACTCCCCCAGCTACAGCAGCTGTTCTGGGTGAGAGTTCCTGCTAACATCAGAGGACTTCTGTAGGATAAAGGGGAGTGCAATGGGATGTGTCTCAGTTGTATGGCTACAGTCCACAGTTGCTGATTTCTGGAAGCTGGTGTAATACACAGCAGAATATTACACTATTAACCCGTTAGATGATAAAGTAGAAGAAAACGACAAAAAAATTAAAATATGGACATCTTTAGGTAATTTCTTATATCCTTCATTTGCATTCTGACAAGCCCATCCTTTTGCAACCTGCTTGTATGCATTCTTACGTACTTTACACCCAGACTCCAAAAATAATTACCATCAGTGACTTTCAATCTTGCAGAGGCGTATGTTGCACCATACTTATTTTTGGTGTGGCAGATATAAACACCTTCATCTGATTTTTTGAGGCCTTGAATCTGCAGCCAGCCTGTCACACCATACTTCTGAGGCCCACCTCTTGCCTTTAAGAAGAGGAAGAAATAAAGTTGAAATTAAGTAGCTAGAAGACACCCTGATATTTCTCAAAGGAGTTGTTGATGGATTAAACATTGTTAACAAACTTTAACGGCTGCCATGCTTTCATTCTGTTTGGTTCTGCTGCCCTGTATTTTAACTTACTGCTTCTGTGTCTCTGAGTTCACTCTTCCCCATCTCTGCTCGTTAAACTTCATTGTCCTTCACAGTGCTCTCATTTCTGTTTCTCCCATGCTATGGATTCCCAGTGTTCCTCCTGTCTCTTGTCCCAGCAACACTTCTTGTTGCTTCAGAGCATTGCTGCCTCTTCTGAGGCTCGTAAATCAGCGTGAGAGTGGCAGGTGGGTCTGGGTGAGTTGTTCAGGGCCAAGGGGCCTGACCAAGCTGACACTCAGCAGTGGGGTTTTAATGGATTGACATGACATACCATGAGCTTTCACAGTTCATGACAATCACTCTCAACTGGCTTGGGCTAAAGCCTCTTAAAGAAGGGGGAACTTTCTTTTCCAAACAACACAAACCCATTAATACATGTTAAAAGAGATGCTTTTGTGGTGAATCTACTCATGAACTAAGTTAACAGGGTTCAGTTTAGCCTCTGAGCTGAACAACATTTGCATGAGGCTCCTTGCACCATTCAACTTCAAGTCTGCTGATCCCATTTGTGTTCATACTGCGTCTGGAAACATTTCTAAGTAACTTAGACTCTTAGTACTTTGGTAATTCACTTAGCTTTTTCTGTGCTTTTGCTAGCTACCTTTTTGTTGAGGTTGTGCCCCATGTCCATTGGATCTTACCACTTCTGGGCTGTGTAAGCAGAAAGCTAGATTTGTCATGTATTTCTCCATACAGTCTCTATTCATCTTCTTTGTCCGCTGGAGAAGCATGCAGGTACAGGCTTCAGCCTTACTGCAGTCTGCTTGCACATCTGTTATTGTTAGCTTGTCTCCCCAGAATGTTACTTCCATTTAAAAGAATTAGTATTTTGATTTATTTAATTTTAGCTCAGATTTTCAGGCTATTTTTAGATTTGCTTGAAGCCTGTACTAATGCCATTCTACTCTTTCCCCTTAGATTAAAACACAGTATCCTCCACAAAATGAGCAAATTTATTTGCTTTCCTTTTGAATGTCTCAGGGACTGAACCGGAATGGCAGGTCCCAGAAACAGCATCTTGCAAAGGAGTTTAGATACTATGTAGAATTACGCAGAATTGTGCTTCTGCATTAAGAGTAGAAAAATTATTGCCACCCTTTCCAGAATGCATCCACCTTCTTTTAGGTAGTAGCCTAAATGGTTCCCTTTGTATGTTCAGTCAGTTTTTCCAGAGTCATACCTACATCAGGAGATTCTTCATCTTTTCTTTCCCTGAAGCAGGCCAGGTAGGACCCTGTCTGTTGTTTCCTCTGCTTACACTCCTAAAGCAGTGATCCTTGCACTGACTGAAATCATAATTCTTTACAGTCACAGGGCCTCTACTGGGAATCTATTCATTACAGCAGTACTGTATTCTGTAGGGGGAATTCACTCATTAATCCCCCTACTCCTTCATCCGAAACTGTATGACATGGAGAACTCAGCTTTTACCTGTACTGAGAGGTGGGTATCATCTCCTGGCAGGAACATTTTATTCCCTTTTTTTTTCCATTCAAGATGTGGCATAGGATAGGCTGACACCTCACAGCCGAAAATGACATCATTTCCTGTGTAATTCTGGGCATCCTGAGGTGGCATAGAAATAACAGGAGCTGCAAGGAACCAACAGCACAGTGCTTTAGGAGACAGTGACCAAAGGACAACACAAACACAAAACCATACAAACATTAATTCCTACTTTACATTATAAAACCAGTTTACCTTTTGCCATCTCACACTTTATGAAGAGCCACATGACTCCAAGCAGCTTTTACAGCTCAGAATACCTGTGTCCCCTTAAAAGGTGAACAGGGTTTTCAACAACTCTCACTTAAAGGACCTGTCTGTCCTTCCCCTTGCACATGATCGTGAAACTTAAGCAGAAATCAAAAGTTTCATTTATGTCCCGTGAACTGTTATCATGGACTAGACTCAAGGCTCCACAGTCAAGCAGCCAGTACTCAGTGAGACCTTCAGAAGAAAGCCGAAGAAATTCTGTAGCAGCCAATCACGGAGTAACTTCATTGTACACGATTCTTCTGAATTTCTGTTGCATTTTGGCTATCTTAAAAGCGAAAATAATGCGACTGCTAGTTTGTCAGACTGTGTTTACTGACTACATCATTGCCTTGAACTTGCTAAGATCTTTTCCCCCTCTGTTACCCATGAGACTCATTGCAACAAGTTACAGAATAACAGCATTAAATACATTCCACATTTATCCAGAATTGCTATCAGTTTCATTTGATGTTACGAGACAAGGAATAAAAGGGATTGAAATCCATTTATTTTGTAAGGTTTTAAGTTGTGTTTGTTACGATAATTAGATTTCCCTTTACTTGTTTCCTATTCTCTTACCCTTCCCCCCCCCCCCCCACTGATTTGCTTTTTGCCTTTGTACGCTCCTTTTTTTCCGAAAGAAAAAGCTGACGTTAACCACGAGAGGGAGCCAGTCCAGGGATTTGAAGACACTGGGAAAATAAACTATCACCTGATGCGTTCATACATCATTTACACATCCCTCTGTAAGCATGTATGAATATACTAAATGTTAACAGGAGACGATGATATTGAGGAGAAGAGAGCAAAATAACAGTTACTGTTATCACACCTCTCCTATTTTGGAGATCTCTGCTTTTTTTTTCGCTGACCTATTCGTCCTCAGCAAGAAGTGTTTCTCCTTCTAAAGTCTCTTTTCTTTCTATCTCCATACCAGTGTTTACAAATTTATATGTTTTCTGGGGCATTAGATTTGTATTTAATTATTGCTTTGATTTTTGTACAGATCCCAGATGCTTGGAAATACAAATTTATGGTAAATATATTTTTATTTGCAAGATTTGAATCAGTATGTGCAGCATTTATGGTTCACCATTTGAAATTGTAACAGCCTATTCCAGGTATTTGAGCAAAGTTTCTAATGCATTTATCAGTTTTTCAGAATTTGTATCTGCAGAAAATGTCAAATGCATCCTGAGTAAAATTAATTGCAAACAAATTATACAGGAAAATAATTTCCCCATTGATGAATGACTCATTAAACAGGAAAAGTAAAGTAAGGCTCTCAAACTATGATACTTAAACCCTTAAGTGCTCATTATTTCATGAGAACTGTATATTGTTTCAAAAATCTTGTCTTAAAATCAGCATTAACTGAATGTTTTGGTTGAGAATTTTTTACCTATGAACTTATCACATATGGTCTGATATTAAAATATAATTTGAAATATTAAAACTCAAAGCAGCCATGTTTCTTTTAGTCATATGTGTGTAGTACTTAAGCTTAAAGTTAAGTGTAAAATAGAAACCAAATGTCTGTGTTGACTCACATGAGCTCTTTAAATTACTGCTATAGAGAGACAGCAGGAAAACCTTTTTAAATAGACAGATGCTGCCTGACTGGTGGTTTAGTTGTGGTGCTAGCACAAGTGTCTTGTGGATACACCAACAACACTGAAGTATTGCCAAGAACTGTCCTGCTTATGGGAGCATCCACAGACAGAGCTCAGCTGTGCGAGGATGAGGGCTCTGGCTTTACTATGCAGTGTAAATGTACCCTTAGCCTCGAGGATGTAAGGGTCTGAATTACAGATTCATTATAGCTGTTCCCGTAGGAGGAATTTGTCCAGAATGGTCTACCATACACCAAGATGAATTCTGCACTGGAAATACACCTCCATTAACTGTAAGGAGACCGTGACAGCTTGGAATGCTGAGGTGTATGCTCAGTGCTACCCATCTGGGCACTTCTATAGGGGTAGTTAAGGCTTTGCTGAACTGGGGCTGACCAGGACTGGCAACATGTGAGTTCAAACTGGTAGCAAGTAGGAAGAACCAAACTGCCTTTTCTGAATCTGAACATGCAATAAATACCTGCATTACTGACTCAAATTTGAAGTGCATCCAAAAATAATATACATCTCAAACCACCATTTTGTTCTATTTTGCAGAAGAAAATCAAAGTAGCAAGATATCATTCTAACACAAATTCCCAAATTTGGGGTTTGAGTGGTTCAGATTTTGTGTTCAGCCAAATTCTGCCATGTGTATCTGTGTGCACCTTTTTTTTACATAACTGTGTCTTTAGAAACAGATCTTTACTGTTATAATATGTCATTTTGATTCCTGGAGTATATGTGCAGTAGTTGCTCCTTTCCTTTTACAGTCCCCATTGTGAATTATCCTCATGTATTATAGAAGAAATAGACCAGAAGCCAGAAAATGTCAAAATACTGCTTCACCTTTCACAACCAACATTAACCCGGTATTACCCCAAACTATTGAATTAGATATTTCTTTTTGCCTTAACTCATTTTTTCTAATCTATGCCTGATTTGATGAAAATGGCAGAAAATTCCATGGCTTGCTTATTTGTTTTTTAACCCAAAATTTACATTTAAAATGATCTATATGGCACAGCTAAATATAGAGAATAACTTCTAGATTGCTCTATTACATCATTAAATCATCAGCAAGAGAGGTTTGAATGTCAATGGGGATGAATTAAGTGTGGAGAATCTGCATATAATCAATGTACTTGGTAGCCTTGGTAAATTATTAGACCAAAACTAGCTTTCAGGAAAAGAAAGGCTTTTCCACTGTTGCTTTAGGGAGCTGGGGCTTCTTCTTCTCTGTTTTCTGGTGATGCACTGAAGAGAAAAGGCTATACTCTTGTGATGAAAGGAGTTTATTGTTAGCTATTTATTCATTGCTTGCTGCATACAATTAATCCATTTGGCATCAATAGGAAACAGCAGATGCTTTGAAGGAGAAATAACAAAACAAAGTACTTTGAGTTGAGTGAAGGTTGTATTTATAGCTTGGTACTGAAACCCCACAGTGTTCAGTGTTTGTTTCTCATGCAAATTGGAGTCAGCGGAAAGCGAGTGCCGCAGCGAGGCTGCTGCTCTTGGAGCCAGACTCCCCGTTGCCTTTTGTCATCAGTTGCAGCCCCGAAAAAGCAGCCTAAATCATGGAGCACCTTCACATGCCTACTGTGCTGCTTCAGATAGGTGCCTTGCCAAAGAGGGGGCTTACGGCTCAGAGGTGCCCCGTGGTATAGCACCTGTGTATTGTGCTGCTTGCTAAGAGGCCCAGGCTCCTTGCAGGGTCTAAAAGAGAATTTACAACCCAGCATGGTCAGCTGCTGCTCAGAGAGATTAACAAGTGCGCTTGTCCCCCACTTTCCCCGGCGAGCACAGCAGTCACCTCAGGCGCTCTGCTGCAGCAGGGCAGACACTGACCTTGGCAGGAGCCAAGGAGACAGGGCCCCATTTAACATGCAGTGTTATTCACCTCAGGGGTAACTGCAGGGGTGGATGACAACATCAGCAATTAAAAGTGGCAGTACTTCCAAACTAAATATTTTTTTACATGGCCAGTTCTGTTTAATTAATTAAAGCAGAGCACTGCTTTAAGCCTGTAAGCCTGTACACAGCTACCTCTGCTGCAGAGTTACCATCACTTGCTGTAGGGTGGCCCTCCTAACTGAAATCTGCCTGAAAGGGTTATGCCACAAGAACTAGTGCTGGTCTAACCCCGAAGAAGAACACCTGTGAGAGCTAACATGCTTTCAGTCATATTGTGGGCTGGTATGCATTGGGTTTTCTGAATGTCTCTTTACTGACAAGCCTCATTTCCCAATTTAATACCCTAATGGCAAATTCTTTATTGTATTGATTCCCGATTCTTTATTGTATTGTCTTCTTGCAATTGAGAAAGAGGAAAGAAATCTGGTATTAGCTGTTCATCACTTTTCCTTTTAAGCATTCAATATCCAGTGTTAATTCAATATCAAAGGACAGCATACAGTCTAAATTAGAGGCAACAGATTGCTAGTGAGGAGTGGGTAAAAAGTACCCAACTTGCTCTCATATGTGGACCTTTGCCAGAGATGCAATTTTAGATTCCCATAACTGTGACCCATTTGTGACTCAGAGACCTCTCCTACTTCCTTAATTCCTATTTCATATCTATTCTATGATTTCAGAAAATATTCCATTAACTTGTTAAAAAAGAATAATTTCTCTTTCAGAAAACAAAAGCCTGTTCACTTTTTCATTTTATATTCATGTGACTTAGGTGAAACGTACTCAGCAGTAAAGACTTGTAATAATGTGAAGAACAAGAACAGTATATGAGCAAGAGGCAGGATTCCCCACTACAACTCTGCTAAGAATCCTTCCACTAAAAATCATCACAGACAGCTGTTCATGATCTATAAGTGTATTTAGGGTAATAGTTTCAGTTTGATTTTGTTATAATATTTAGATTTCTGTTTCATGGGTTAGCTAAATTTTACAATGATTCCAAAACTCTATTATCTTGGACTTATTTGTAAGAGCAAAAGACCTGTTAATTAAGCCTCATCTTCTATTGTCTCTACACTGCCAATCATATATACACAGAGGTGGATACGCTCTGCATACACATGTATATATAAACACATACATACCTGTATGTGTGTGTTTGTGTGTATATATGTATATATGAATAAGGTATGCCTTGCTCTTAACCACTTCAGTATAAGGTCAGTCCTCATACAGTTATTTGTCCAGTCCTCCCACACTATCCTGCCTGCTTACCTCTTCCCACCTACACATTCTTGTAGAAAATACCTCATACTCTGCTTATTCAGAGCAGAACTAGTCTGCAGATCTGTGGCTTATTAGTCTCTATGTAATTTAATCCACTAATCGAATATAGTTAGTAACATACAAAATTAAGTACCAGCTGCTGAACCACAAAGTAAATGCTTAACACAAAGTAGTACAACAAAATAATGATAAGAAAAAAAACAGAATTAGTTTAATAAAGTTAGACTAGAGCACCTATTACATGTTTGAAAATAAGAACAAGATCATTTTTAGTTTAGAAGTGCCTCTGTACATATTACCTGATTCACATGGCCCTTTGTGTTTCATGCTGGTATTTCTTTTTGTAGCATAAGCCTTGTTGAATTGACAGATGTTCTCGTAGGTTTTCCCTTCAGGTCCACAGATGCTTTCTTGAGACTTGCACACACACTGGGGTTCAGGGACTTCCCCGAACCTTGCTTCATCAGCATCCAACCTGCACTCGAGGTTGTCCCCACATTGCCCATAAAAATGATTGCCCTGGTCCAGGTCGCAGATCTGACCTTCCACATTCCCACACTCAAGACAGCAGCCGCAACGGTCCAATACAGTCCCAGCTGGACAGTCTTTAGGCTCAGTACAAAGTGCCATATTGCATTTTCCACAACTATCTGCTTCCCTTAACAGTCTCCACCAGCCTCGGTGGTATAAAGCAGGGAAACTCTGAGAAACCTGCACCAGTACTACCAGCATTGCTGTAACCATTGGGTGCTTCATCTTCAGAATGTAACAATCAAGCAGGAAAGGTCCTTGGAGTAAAGCCAGCAGCAGATTAAAAAAAAAAAGAAAAAAGGAAAAAGAGAGTGAGCTAGTGAGAGAAAAACATTACAATCCTTTTGTTTTCAAATATAAATTCTACTGCAGACACGGGCTCTAAGAAGAAATTAGCATCAGATTCCTAATCTGGAACTGATAACAAAAACGCATGCAAACCCACTGGCTTTTCTCTAATGCAGTTTGGAATGTGACTATTGCTTGCACAGAAACCAAACTGCCCCTTCTGACAGCTGAGTGGAAGCTCTCTGAAAAGCTGTTTGCTCAGTGTCTCCTTGAGCCAAATTTGCAAAACATTGCTCTATTGAAACAACATTATATTGCAACTATTGTAGGAAGGGGAACAGGGTAAATTAGTGTAAAATGAAGAAATGAACTGCTATGAGCTTGTCTTGTCTCCCCGATCAGCTGAAAAAGTCAGCAAGCGATAGATACACACAGTAGGTACAGAGATAGCTGTACCCTTGATATGACCCTGTGTTTTTGAGAATGGAGCAAGGTTTAACACCAGATTTCATCCATTAATGATCACAGCTGGGGTTCTGAATTAACAATTTACTTACAGGCTCTTTATAAGCAAGGGACAATCCAAGACAGCTGGAATTGACTTTCAACTCTTGGATTTAAGATGGGAGATGCTTAGACCCATGACAGAATCCCCCGTTCTCTCTACATTTAGTTTCTTTTCAGTGTTTATAGGTGTTTGGTTTGCAACCCAGAGTAACATGGTCCACATTTAGCTCTAAGGACTAAGTGCCAAAGGTTTAGAACAGGTGAGCCAGCTGCTGCAGCATCTTCAGGTGCCTCAGAAGGGGAGTTTGCTGGAGAATTAGACACATCACTCATCTTTTCAGAGCACTTTTCTGCCTTCATTTCTTAAGACGTGCTTACCCTGTGATTTAGGAAGGAGGATGAAAGAGGTAACACCGAGATCTCTTCTTCCCGCCCCCCCCCCGCCCCCCCCGTTTTTTCTGTTCATAAATTTCTGCTGGTTCAGGGAGATGCATTTGCAGGGTCATTTCTCACCAGGTGTTGCACTTTTCTTTGTAAACTCCCCTCCCTTTCACTGCCAACAAGAGTTCTAGTCTATAGACCATACGCTGCTGTTTCCAGTGTTCAGGTACAGCTTAGCAGAGTTGCATCTTGCTGTCTGTTGGAAGTAAAAGTGAATCATAGTGGACTTGGAGACCCTGCAAATATGAGTCAATGCCATGAGTCAAAGATGACCACTTCCTACAAATGGAACATCTCTGTGTAGTAGCTTAAAATAACTCTGCATGCATCACATTTTTAAGATACACACATAAGACTAAGACACTATTAATAAGATGAAATGAAAAAAATCGTGCTTCTGCCTGCTTGTCCTGAAATCTTCCACAAGGGGCTTTTTCAGCTCTATATTCGTAGTGCTTAGCTCCTTACAAAAGCTCAGTGAAGGATGCATTTTGTTGCACCAGCCTTACATCCTCTGAGCATATCCACAGGGAAATCTTTTGGGAGGTAAGTTTACTTTCCATCCCAAACAGATCCATGGCTTTTCCATGGATATGCAAAAGTTCAGCTTCATGCCTTTTGCACCAGTTGAGATTACCTCTTGCTTGGAGTGAAGTAGCAGGCTGCTTCCAAATCAGTTCTTTCTCCCAGACTGCATATGATGCAATTTCCCCCTGGCCTGCATGGCTGGAACACTTCTTAAGGCCAGCTTGAAGAGATCTACAGGGCACTGCTTATCACTGTGTGATAGCTGGGCTAATTCATATTTTGTAGTACATGTTCTTGCTTTGAACACAGAACCAGACTGTAAAGGAGTAAATTATGTGTGTAATGGATGCTTTTAACATTGAGAGTCAGAAAAAAAAAAGTAACCACAGAATTTAATGAAATTGATTTTATTTTTTTTTTGTCCCACTTTCTTATTCTGGTTAACGTGTTACATTTCATACTTCCTCACCAAATTCTAATTGGATGTTTAGTTTTGCATTATAGCTCATTATTTACTCATCACTGTCTATTTTGTAGAATCATAGAATACTTAGGGTTGGAAAGGACCTTATGATCACCCAGTTCCAACCCCCCTACCATGGTCAGGGACACCTCACACTAAACCATATCACCCAAGGCTCTGTCCAATCTGGCCTTGAACACCGCCAGGGATGGGGCATTCACAGCTTCCCTGGGCAACCCATTCTGGTGCCTCACCACCCTTACAGTAAAGAACTTCTTCCATATATCCAGTCTAAATTTACCCTGTTTAAATTTGAACCCGTTACCTCTTGTCCTGTTACTACAGTTGTAGGGGATGAGTATCTATAGGAAAAGGATTTGCTAAGGCTCATGTAAAGTAAAAAAAACAACCACAGTGGTGAAACCACGTATACAAAATGGAGCCAAAGCAAGGGGGAGGCTGCAGGACACCACTGCCCCCATAAGGCTGAGTTTTGTGTATTGTCTTCTAGGAAATGTGATCTGAGAGTTGTAAACCAGAAGTATACAAGGAAGTACTTTCCGTGTCCTGAGGAAACCCATCATAAATATCCTAGAAAGTATTTCTGGCACTTACCTGGCTAATGTAATCTGAGTTGCTAGTGGGTTCAGCCTCTAAATTATGCCTGTGGTCTCGTCTGAGCAGCTGCCCTTTAGTAGGCAATCTGCAGCTAGAGGATACTTGGCTACTGATTCCTGAACTCACCTGGAACAAATTGGAGTGGGGAGAGGTTAATGCCCTGTGGTATGACATGGAGAAATGACTGATAGCTATCTAAAATTAGCAAGCCATTCTGTGACAAGCTGAGAAGAGTGTTGCTGTACTTCTCCACACTGGATGGATGTGTGGCAGGGTCAGAGCAAGGGGATAAAGAGGGAGCAATGAAAGAGAGCAGTATGTACTGCTGGGGTTAAAGCCACAGATCTAAGGGCATAGTCCTGTCTGGTCAGTACTAAAACACACATTATTGCTGTATGCCTCTAACACCTGAAGCATGCTTTGGTGGGTTTGGTAGAAATCACAAATCTTGAATTACCTTAACCCTAAATATCTCCCAGAACCATACACAAGCAGCAGTGGTAATACTAGCATCACTGGTTGAGCTGCAAGATGGGCACCAAAGCACTGTCTGCTTTTCAGACACCATGCCCCAAAAGCTGCCTAGAGAGCTGAGGAGCAGTGCAGATAAAGCCTCCACCGCCCTTCAACGAGGGGAGGAGTTGAGCAGCTGCAGTGCATGAAGGGAGCTTTCTGCCTTCACCTGTGAAATAACATTTTGGTGAACAATTTCTCTAACAGGTGGGTTGAGCAGCATCAGTATGCCTTCACTCTTAGCAGGCAGGGTAGTGCTGGTCATGCAGCAATTTCCTTGGCTTTTTCTGTATATTTCCATGTGGCATGATCAGTACAAAGAGTTCTGTCACCATCCTGTGAAAGAACTGGTACCTAAGTTGGGTGATAGGGACATGGGAATATGGTCCAGCTCTTCTGTACCCTCAGACTGCATCTTTCACCAGGACATGGGCAGCATCTTCCATAATAATTCCTGTAAGGGAATTTTTAAGGAAATTGTATTCCTGTTCATTTCCTGCCTCCTTCTTGGGGCCCAGTGTTATGCTAAGCTGCTGACTTGTATTGCATTGCTTTACTTTGCATGGTAATAAGTAAGGTACCTGGCTGATGCAATTTGAAATCCTATTGCTAGTGATTCCTGAGGTACTGCTCTTTCAGACAAAATGTGGTTCAGCTCTTCATTCTGTTCTTATTTGTGTCAGTATGAGATTTAAGTGAAGGCTTCTGAATCTGGCTCCTGCCAGACTTGCAGATCTGGTTCTTACACAGACACACACAGGAGCCCTGTGAGAAATAATGGCAAGACCACAGAAAACTTCGAGATGTCCCTTCTACCTTCTCTGTCCTGCAATGGTTCCTCTCCTTGAACAGGTAAAGGTTGGAATCTACAGTGCTCTGTGTCTTGAGTACCTATTCTTGAGGTCCCTTTAGAGAGGGCAAATCTTGGTTGACTCAGCATGTTTCCATCCAAGAAACTTTATACTTGTATTAGGTGCACAAAGGAAGCATTAAAGTTAATGTTTGGTCTGTTATACTGGTCAGTCGCAGACTACAGGTGGCTGTGCCTGCTGGGTATGTGCATTACCTGATACTGAACCAATCTCCTAGGATAACATTGTCCACACAGTCTCCAGAATTGAGCTTCATTTGAAGTGCTCAGCTCACCTGGAAACAGTATTTGGTTCTGGAGAAGTAAGTGGCAAATGGTGGAGATTAATGACAGATAAAGCAAAAATGGTTGGATGCCACTTGCAGGTTCTTAACAGATGCAGGCACAGACTGTCCTGGCATATCCAAACGCTGCCTTTGCTGGTGCCCATCCTATTTGCTGACACATTGCTTTCATGACCCTCATCATTAGTGCTGCAAGCACATGAAGTATAAGTTAATTCTACTGTAACATGATTATTAAATCCATTAATCAAAGGCAGGAGATCCGTAATTAACTTATTCTCCAGCATCAAGTAAATGATTCTGCTGTGAGCTTTAAGAAAGCAGTTGATCACTGATAGCAAAATACAGTGGGGCTGTTAGACTAGAAGGCTCTGTAATTGTATAATTAAATTATAAATTTTGCATATTTTAATAATATATTTTAATTATTTCCTTTCTAAAGTGAAAATGTAGGATCATTAACCCTTTTTATGGTTTTACATGTAATTTACTAAAGGGGTGGGTGGCGGGGGGAGAGAAGGGAAATTTAATGTCTGTCTCCTGCAAGTTGACTGTTCTCATGTAAGGCTTTGGCAAGGATTCTGATGACTCAGCCTGGACCTGTCTCCAGCAGTGACTGACTATAGATTTCTCCTGTGTCACAGTCCAGCATCACTGTTAATGACTGTAGCCGCCCAAATTTTAACTTGCAGGGCTAGCGCTGTTCTAGTTGTCCTGGGTTTAGCAGTAGCAGTCATTTTTTCTCTTTCTTGGTAGCTGGTGCAGGGCTGTGTTTTGACTTTCGGGCTGGGAACAAAGTTGATAAAAATTATGTTTCGGTTTGGCCAAGGACTTTGTGAGCCTCATGCTCTGCCAGGGAGGAGGGGAAGCCGGGAGGAAGCAGAGACAGGACACCTGACCCAAACTGACCAAAGAGGTATTCCATACCACAGCACATCATGCCCGGGGGGGGACCTGGGAGGTACCCAGAAGGACAGGGGGTCGGCCGGGTCGGACTGGTGGTTTGGCGCGTGGTATTGTACTCCTTTCCCTTGCTATTTTCTCTTATCATTGTTGTCGTTGGTGGTAGCAGTGGTGATTCGTATTGTACATTAGTTGCTAGATGGTTCTTATCTCAGCCCATGGGAGTTGCATTCTTTTGATTGTCCTCCCCATCCCTCTGGGAGCGGGGAAGGGGGGGCAGCCCCTGGGGAAGGGGGGGAACTAACGTGGGCCTCGATTGCTTCCAGCCTGGCACCACTCACTGGGAGTGAGTGCACAAATTGTCTGGCTTGGTTTAAACCACGACAGTTCTTTTTGGCGTCTAACGTGGGGCCCGAGGGGTTGAGACAACAATAGATCTGACTGGATTAATAGTCACTCGTCACAATGCTGATTTATTGGCTCTCAAAGTTGTTCCTCTTGATCTCACAGTCTCAGGATATCGTACCTTACTTCCCACTGGTATTTGCTGTATTAGTGTTTTTCAAGTGTGGGGCTTGGGCTAAAGTTTTTGTCTCATTGTACTTTATGTTAATGACTTGTGCTAAATGCTTGGGTTTTATTTAATATAGGCTGCTGATTCCTTTCTACACAAGTAAGTCTGGAAGTTACTTTTCACAAGCTAGTGTTTTCTTCCAAGGGCTCAGATATTTGAAGGGTTCTCTTCAAGCCTGCATCAATTCTCTGCTATCCTTTAAGTAGACCCCATTTCTGAAAGCTTTGTAATTTTGTCCAGAAACACTCAAGCCTTCTGTTCCATAGTAGGAGGATAAAGCCAGAAACATTTAGGGAATCAGCAGTAGGTAATCAAACATTTCTCTGAAGCCATTCTTTTGAGAGGTGAGACTTACTGTGGGGAGACTTGCACAGAAGGTGTCACGAGGGCATTTCCCCCGTGTGTCCTGACCACATTTCCAGCCTTTGAAACCTTAGCTGCTCATTTGAACCTTTGTGTATGCACTTTAAACACAAGTGCAATATAGGAGCAGTAGCCAGCATCATTCCCCTTCTTCTCGAGGGAGGAGGAGCGTGAAGGTTTGTCCTCTTTCTGCCTTAAGAGAGCACTAATGCAAAAGCGTCCCCATGTTCTGCACAGACCACAGGTCTCATTTTCAGGCGTTATGTTCTAGTGCAGCAGCCTCTTCAGTTTAACAGAGCAGAAAAGTCTGGAACGTATAGGTAAGGCCCTGGGGTCCCCAGCCTGTCCTGGGACTGTCGTGACACTCACCCATGCCACCAAGGGGTGGATGGCATGCGTGCCCCTTGCTATGCTCAAGTCTTCCTGGGTGCAACTTTCAGCAGTATGTTTGAAGGCTGGCCTGGTCCTTATTACAGACCTGCAACAAACGTGGGATTTGGAGAGGGGGTGGAAGAAAAAATGCAACCGGTCAACCCCAAACCAGCATAGTTCTAGCTCTGCCAATGTTTTGAGGTGCTTCCACCTAACAAAGACTGAAAAGTAATATTAGCTCTGGCCAGTGGCTAAAGAGTCAGGTGTGTTTGTGTGTATCTGTCCACCCATTTTGCAGCAGAGGGGTGGTGACAAGAGTAGGCTTAAGCCTGAGGATGACACTGATGCTGTCACGAGTTGCACATATCAGCAAAGTTCTCAAATAGAGCAAACCACAGTGTTTCCTGAAAAAGCCTAAAAGAGAGAGAGGGGGATCTGGGAAACTTGCAGACAATGAATATAGAGTAATTTTTCTTGGCAACTTTAATGTTGATGGATAGGACAGTTTGCCTTGTCCAGTTTATATAAGAGCAGCTGATATAAAATGACTTCATAGCTGGATATTTATGAGAAGTTTCATTTCAAATAATATAGTTTTTGCCTCTGGCAGTGCTGTGGTTTAGTCCTGTTATTACTGGGAACTATATCTTTAGGATATTCTAACTGTAACTGCAGGAACTGTTTGATCTGCTCAGCAAAGTTAATATTTTCCAAAGCAGTGGAAACTTTATAATGGAAACTCTCATTAGCAAAACCTACCTGTCCCTAAAACTAGCCAGGAAATCGGGCACAGAGAGGAAACTTAGGGGATTTTCCTTCAGCTTCACCTGCCTTCTCTTACAGTAATGCTGAAGAAAGTAGTGTTTTCTATTACAGGAGCTGTACAGATAGACTATAATGGTCCTTCTCTAGAAAAGCAACTAGAAACTGGTTTCTGATATAAAGTAAAATTCTCTGCTGCACATAGACCTTGTATAAAATACACTTTATCTCCTGAGGGAAACAGGATTTGGTGCCGGACCCTCCCCCTGGGCCAGCACTGCTCTGAGATGGATGCAGGAGAAGAGCTCAGGAGGGGAGTTTTTTAAGTGGAGTTTTTTAAGTGTCTTTCCTGCTTTGTGTATAAATGGAATATTTTCAAGTGGTTCAGTTACCCTTTTAGGAGCATCCAGAGTTAAGGGCTGCAGGCCCACAGCGTGCATGGTGTTGGTAGGGCGCCTGGAGTCCCACAACAGCCTGGAAAGGCGGAGCGGGACCTCCTGGAGCTGCTTGGCTGTGCTAACTCCTGCTCCTCATGCAAAACCATAGATCAGCCTCCAGCCCCTTCTTCCCATTGAAGACACAGCTCTGGCCATTGTTACAAAGGGAAATAGATCTGCAGCAGAAACAGGTTCAGGCTGTGAGCCCTGCTAATACAGCTTCCAACCAAGTCTTGCAAAAAGCCTAGTGTCTGGACAGTGGTGGTCAGAAAAAAGCGACCCAGCCGAGCAGCTGCAGAAGAGAGCAGGAATCTTTCTCCCCACCCTGTGCTTCAGTTGGAATTGTTGCAAAATTGAACACTTCTGACAAACATTTATGTTCATATGTGACCAGAAAGCTTGAAGAGGTGCACTGTGCTGCCCAGTGAAGGGGACATGGAGGTTGTGTGTGGGCAGGGGAGGCTTTGCTGGCTTGGACCACTGAGTTGTGCAGCCGTAGAATGTAGAAGTTTAGAGAGGGGACGGCAGGAAGCTTCAGAGTGAGCAAGGACAGAAGGCAAGGCTTGAGGCAAGCTTGGAGGGCAGCACTTACCACTGAAAGAAGGGCTGGGAGCACTTGCTGTTAGATTCCCTGCTGCTCTCAGGACTTTGGGCTAACAGGACAACCACAAAGAATCCTGCAGATTGACACCTCTGGGCTTTCAGGCTTATAATTCTGGTCAGGAAGAGCAATCTCCAGGTATGATCATTCTTCTAAATACTCGGAGGTTAAAAAGGAAACAAACAGAACTATCAGTGGTTTTCTGTCACAAATGTCGAAGACCACACTTTGCCCTTGGGAAGATGAGGCTTTTCTAGGGATGTTTGCTACTCCTACCTTTTGTTAATGCTTACGCTTTTGGGGTCAGGTCTCTGGGTTCCATTTGCCAGTTTCTAGAAGCGCAGTGCTAGTCCTGGCCCCTTCACTCTCTTGCTGTTTCTGGAGTCACAGTTCATCTGTGATAGCTCTTAGCTTTACGTGGTTGTTCCTAAGGAAGGGCACGGTACCTAGAAACAGCATGAAGCGAGGGAATACAAATGAAAACTGTGCATGAGCATGAGTTAAGAAGTAAAAGCCTGAGTCCATTTAAATCAATGGCCCATTAACTTCAGTGGGCTCAGGATTTCAGCCTGTTCTTTTAGCTTCATGCTTGAGCTGGCAGGGCAGATGTCTTCATCCCTGTCCAATGGGGTGTGCTGCAGATTGTTTTCCTGTCCAAGCTGACACTCTTGGAAGTCTCAACCTATTCCAGCTGCTACAAACCACAAACATCTCGCATAAACTGAAAGTCATAACGGTTTTGCATTAATTGCTGACCTACTTGTCCAAAAGACATGTCTAAAAGACAGCACAAGCTGTCTTGAATTTCTTACATTTGTCATTTTGTTTCATGACAACTGACATGAATCTAAATCTGCCTTAAAGAGGCTTTCTATGAAGTGACTACCTCCCCTTATAGAAAATACTATGTCAATGGTGTCCATTGATGGGGCAGGAGTGGATTGCTCTTATTCTATCAATAGAATGAAAATGATACTGCTCTCATGCTGCTCTCCTGTACCACATACAGCACACTGCAAAGGCAAACCTATTTGTCTTTGTGCTTCAGGGCACAAAGTTGTGGACTGCAGGGAGAGGAAATGCCAAGACATCTCTGGGAAAATCTGAACTGATGCTATAAAGCCAAAACTTACTCTCTCCTTTGGGAGAAACAAGGAAAACAAGGCACTGCGGGTGGGCATATGTCTCAAACCGGATAAAATAAAAGCTCTGGACTGCTGGGGGGACTTGGTCTGACAGCAATGGTGAGAGTCATCTGCATGGTCAGACCTTACCTGTGGAACTTTAATTCCGTGTTCTCTGGAGTTTAAGGATTTGGTTTTTGGGGGTCTCAATCCAATAAAACATAATAGAGTACCAGACTGATAAAAATCTAGATGCTTGGTAAATTGGTGGAACTGGAAAACTATTGAAACTGAAACAGGCCATTTCTGTCCAAATCCCTCTGCTGGTAGAGATTTGGGTAAATGGCCGAACTCTGCAGCATGGCTGAAAGTAAAACCCCTACAACACACTGGGAAAAACAAAATCAGGTGATTTCTTCCTTTTCTTAGTTCACAGTTCTTAACTCTTCCATTCAGTTAGCTTACTAGCAGGGATGATCACCCAGGTTGTTAGCTCCCAAATACAGCTTTCTTGTTTGCAGTCATAGGTACCTGCACTAATCTGATGAAGAAAGTAAGACATAGCACAGATTTTCGTGCCCACCCAAAGCAGCTTTCAGTTCAGTATCGAGTCCTCCTGATGAATTGCTGTGAGCAAAGCACAATTAAAAAGAGTTTCAAACCACAGAAATTTTGAGGAGAACTGCAGTCTGTTTGAGACAGATCTCAAAAGGGGAGGAATAAAGAAAGAAAATGCATCAAATTATTCATTACACTTAACACTCACCTCAGGTCAGCAAGAGGCCCATTGTCTGATCCCAAATGTAACAACAGGCTGTAATTTAAAACAGCTTTTATTCATTAATGAGGAGAAAAGTTATTTTAAATGAGAATTTGGAGAAACCCTGTGCCAATTGTAAGCACTAAACAGTCTTCCCTCTTGAGGGCATGGCTTGCTGTCTGGCTGTGCATTCTGACACTAAACACAGTAAGCAAATGAGAGTGGGGTCTGCTACCAATTCAAGCACTAGGTTTGCAATGGAATTAATCTTTTAAAAAATGCAAAGTATTCCTTACAGCAGATGGTAGTGTTTGCATGTACAAATACCTCTTGGAAATCGTAATGTAAACCACATGTTCTGAAACCCCCAGGCTGAACCCTTCATCATCCTGAAAATGAAAACTCACCCTCTCCCAGCTCACGCTGGTGGATGCTGCAGCAGGACTAGCTGCTGGCCTGAAGTGAGTGCAAGAAGAGTTAGAGGAAAAACAAGAAGTGGGGAGGGGAGGATTGAAAGAAGCAGGGGGATTTGGGGATGTACTAAAAGGTGGTATTTCTCTGTCACTCACTGCTACGGTCTTAGGCGTATGTGTATTAGCTCTAGAGGAGGGCTGCAAATAAGCTATGTTATCCTATTTTAACTCTCCTCTGTAGTGCAGCGCCTTTATACTTTAAACTGGATTAAATGAATCCCCAGAATGTTTCATGCTGCTGTTGCTAGACTGCTTTTGGTCCCAGTGCTAGATAGGGTGACTCTGCAGCATGTTACGAGACTTTGTATTCCTCTGGGTTGCACCAGATAAAAGCATTTGCATCTCTTGAGAGCTCCTCAAGTTACTCCTGTTGCCTGGCTCACTAGCCATTCTGCTTTCCTATGCTAACACATTCACAAGCATTTGTCCACAAAGCCTTAAAGTGCAAACATTCTTAACAAGAGACAAAGATTCCAGAAGGTGCACGTTTAGGAAGTATGCATAAGGCAAGGTTACAGCAGACGAGATCATCGCTAAAACAGAATTTGCTCAAAAAGCAAGTCAGTCTTTTCCTCCGCACGTTCACATTTTGCCAGGAGCACAAACTGGGGCCATGGTGGAATAGTAAACACTGGGGTAGCTCTGTCCTGCGGCTCACCCAGATTTGTGGTGCCAAGTTCCTCAGAGCTATAGGGCAGATGTCAGTGGCAGGCAAAAGAGCTCCCACCTCAGGAGCCATCAGCCTGGCGGCTCTTTCAGAGATTGGGCTGCTACTCGGAACCCTTCCTGTTCCCTGTAGAGCCTGTGCAAGGCTTAGCCCTTAAGCAGCAGAGCTGTGTGCTGTGCTTGCCTGTGACTTTGTTCTCACTTGCAGTTTGTGTTACGTACTGGTCCTTTGTGGGAAAGGCTTATTTTCAGTTCGTATCTGCCAACGTATTAGGGCTTGTCTTTGCACACCAGCGACGTGGAAACTGTTCTGCACTCTACGCCTACGGGGATATGAAAGTCTACTCTTGAATTCAGTGCTGTTTCTAGCTTGTGTTAGACAGCACCTAAGATGAGAAAGACTTGAGATTGTGCAGTGCATCATCCTCCTTGCTCTGAATAACACATCTGGGCTTACAACGCTCATCTGTCACTGCCCTCCTCCTGCATCCCAGATGGGATGACAGCAACACCAGTAACAACCCCAGGCTGCTCCAGGACATCAGTGCAGCTGACTTGCTTCACTCTAGGATATATTAGTAAACGTTAATTTTGCCTCCCCTGCCATGCCTGATGCACCTGCAGTAGGGCAGAGCCTAGGTGACTTCCTTTGTCTCTTACTCTCTATATCTAGTCTTTACTGAGCATCAGTTTGACCACTGAATTGGCCTCAGCACCAGTTTGTGTGCATCCCAACTGATGTTGAAGTTAATATCTTGTGTTGCAGCAGGACTATACAGGGAGATGGTCACGTGTGAGGTGTACTGAAGTCCATCAGTGAGAGAAAATTGCATGTAGGATCAAATCATAGAAACATTTAATAGTTAGGGTTGGAAAGGACCTTAAGATCATCCAGTTCCAACCCCTTGCCATGGGCAGGGACACCTCACACTAAACCATATCACCCAAGGCTTCATCCAACCTGGCCTTGAACACTGCCAGGGATGGAGCATTCACAACTTCCCTGGGCAACCCATTCCAGTGCCTCACCACCCTAACAGGAAAGAACTTCTTTCTTATATCCAATCTAAACTTCCCCTGTGTAAGTGATGTCCATATTTTCTAGCTCTTGAGAGTTTCTCAAGTAAGATGTTTCCCTTGGTCAAGCCAGCAGCTCCTTAAGAATATTCTCACAAAGCATTCCAAAAAAACCCCTCTTTCTCCTACTACCTTCTGTCCCTCCCCTCCTTCCTTCTTGAAGTAACCAAAATCAGCAAGAAATGAGAACATTCAGAGCTGACACTTTTCAAGACAACATCCTGTTTGCTAGACTGGGTCAATAAAAATCATCTTGCTGCACAGAGGTATAACTTATGTCCTGAGCAACTTCAGAGCAGAAAGTTGTAAGGGAAGCAGCATCTAATGAAAGCAAACCTTGAGAGTGGCAGTCTGCTATAACATACAAAGAAATTCCTTTTGTTAACAGTATTTGGCAGCTGGTGTAGAACACATTAGGACATTTTAGTTGGGTTTTAAAGAAAGAAATTGATACAGAAAGAGGTAATGATTTTTTTTGTTTGTTTTTAATAGAGAATCTGTCTAGGGGTTTGTGTTCATATCACAAACATTCACTTGATTACATTTTATGGGATGGACTTTAAATGCCAGTACATACAAGACAATGTTTCATTATTGGAGTTTGTGTTTATTCACTTGCCATTGTCAGTCTGCTCCCCTTTGACTTCTTGTGCTGCTCTTTGTAAAAGCTGTGATTTATGAATATGTGGTTTAGATCCGTCACAATAGAGCGTGGAGAAGTGGTTCGATAAAAAGTTATTAAAGCAAAAAATCCATAGTTTCATGTGCTTTGCCCACCTTCTGTAGGAACCTCTAGTAAGAGACTCTTACCCTAAGCAAACAACTGTGTGCATGATACTGTAATAGAAGCTACCTGCTCAGTCAGAACTCCTGCTGAATGGTGGCTACTACAGGCAATGGCAGGTTTGCCTTATAGACTGCAGGAATTCACCCTCAAAGTTATGAAGGTTGCATAGACCAAAAGGAGGGGAAGAGGGGGAAATCTGCCATAAAATGTCCATTTTAAAGCTGGGAAATAAAGACTCCCAGTAGCCTTAAATGGCATTTGGTTTTCAAATATGTGTGCATGCCCCATACTTATTTTTAAAACAAAGCTCTAAGTCCTGCTAACTGGAGGATAACCAAACCTGACCAGCAGTTTCCAGAGCCCAGCTGGATTTCTGCAGAAGCCTGACACTGTTTCAGCCTAAAATAGTGAGTGAAAGGCTGATTTAGATCATTGTAGGTCAGCCCCACACCAGTCAGCCCCACTGCTGACCTGCCACAGCTGCACAGCCACATGGAGGGGATGACATATTGGCCACTCTTGCATATGGCTGGCAAGGAACAAGACCTGCTTCTGGCATTGGAAGCTGAAGGAGGCACTCTGCAGAATGAGAAGGAATTTGCAAGGAAGACACAAGGATTTGTGGTAGAATCTGTTCAACTGCACCACAACAGTACAAGAGATGTGTTACAGAACAGTCTTGCTGCTTCTATTTTGTGTTCCTGAATCTCTGAAAAAATGCAGCTCTACAAACAAAACCACCCTCTGTGTCTCAGAAATGGATAACTTCAGCAAGTGAGGGTCACCTCAATGAGTCAAACAGGTGTTGAAAGCAGTGAGGTACACCATCGCGCCGATGCCAGCAGCACCAAACCCCTGATCTGGCACTACATTACCCCAGGACAAGGAAGCACAGTGCACAGAGCCTGTGCAGGGCACACTGCTGCTGCTTTCGGTCCTCTTGACAGAGGAGCTATTGAGACTGCAATCACAGTTGCTCTGTTATCTCTGGCAAACAAAGAATAACAGCTATAACCCTACATCCTCTTGGAGAGCTAAACTACAAGGTTCCCTCCTCCCTCAGAGTACATGAAGATAATTTTGCCACCTATAGTGTTCTGTGGCCTGCCTTGTGCAGTCCTACACACCCATCTTTGGCCAGGTGGGAGGCTGGATGCTGGAATGAAGTGCAGGTATGAGCAGAAGAGCCCAATACAGCCACTCAGCTGAACAAGTAGTTGTCCAGTGTCAACATTGCTAATGCTGAAGCACCAAGGCTTTGCACCTTGCATAGCTCATACTCTTCTGTACCTCAGGAAGCACAACACAGCAGTTTGTGCACATTGGATTCACTGAGGGTAGATGCCAGCTTAGATACCTGGCAAGATTCCTCTCCTACTGAACTAGAAGAACGAAGCAACTAATTTCTACTAAAAATATAGGTAGTAAGCCCAATAAAACACATTGGCCAGCATGAAGAACAAAGGGAAAAGCAATTTGGAGTAGTGGTCAACATTGCTGGGGTTCTGAATTGTGAAATAACCAATAATCCTGTGCATTTTGTTTCTCAAGACACGTTTGATTTTCTCATGAGTTTTCATGGTGAACTCATTGCAGTTAACATTATCACTGGGAATCTCAATGCTTGTAAAGCTGATTTTCCGTCTGTAGCTGGTGAGGATGTTAGCAATATTGACCTCTTCCATGTCTTTAGTGAGTTCATTTGAAGGCCCCTAGGAAGCAAGAGTATGCAGTTAGTTTTAGGGCTTGCCTTCTGCAGAAAAGTGCTTTAATCAAAAAGGAGACCATAAGCATAAAGATAAACCCACAGCTTCATATGTGTTCATCCCAACATTCAGACGTGCCTTTCAGCTGCAGCCTATTTTTAGGAGTGTCTGAAGTCTCAGAGATGCCTTTGTTTCCAGCATGGTATTTCTAGAGGTATTTTTGAGATCTCTGAACAAGTCTCACTCTATGTCACTAGGCACCCCAACATCCATCTCCTACAAGACATCCATCTCTTCATGTCTGTGCAGTAACTTAATGGCTGGGGAGCTCAGCATCAAGGTGGGAAACCTCTTTTTCCTCTGAGAGGATTTGGACCCTTGACCACTGGACTATAGCCAATATTACTCACGATGAAGCAGAGCACTTTGAACAATTCATTCTCATACCCCTGCCCCCAGAACACTGTGGGACTGATGTTGGGTACTGTCTTCTGGGAAGGGAGGAAGAAGGGTTAATGGACGACTAATCTTAGAAAGATCCAAGATAACTGGGCTTATTTAAGGTAGATCAAGCTTTACCTCTTGAGATGTTTTAGCTGAACACTTTTGTGATGAGCTGTAGTGAGCCACTGCATATTCCACAAGGGCACCAAAGATGAAGGTGAAGCAGATGCCAAGGTAAACATCAATGGCCTTAATGAAACAGTTGGTTTTTGAAAGTGAACTTCGTGACCCAATCATCAGGGTTGTCATGGAAAGCACTGTTGTTACTCCTTGGAAAGCAGAAAAGGAGAGATCTTTTGGAGTCACTTTGGAAAAGACTTGGCCTATCCTTCTTCAAATGTTGTCACTCTCTACTGTTTGCAAGATAGAGCACATCACTTACCAAATCCAAATCATCCATCAGTTTAAAAACTTTTGTAGTGCTAGCTACTAGCTCCACTCAGCCTCTTCCTGCCTTTGACACCTTGGCTCCAATGTGCATTTGGCTCTTATTTTTCTTGCTTTCAGTTAAAAAAACCCAAAACCTCCCTGCCCAAAGCACATCCCAAATAATGCATGCTCTGCTTTCTGCTGTGCATCTGCTGGGAGCCTCAACCATACTCAGCTCTGCAGGTGGGCAGATGTGCTGGCCACAGCACATCCTCCATACTGCTTACCCAGCTCTACCGCAAGTAAAGGAGAGAGTGAGCAGACCATTTATCACTGGGAAAAGAGCTCAAGAAAACAATCATCTACCCAGCCCTGAGAGGCTCCCCTTCCCTTCCTTGGGCAGTAACTCACCAATGCAAGTCCTTGCAGGCACTGAATCTAATGTGATCCAAAAAGAGACCCAGGACAACATGACGAGCAGAGTAGAGGGCACATAGGTCTCCAAAATGAAGTAAAGGACGTTTCTCCTCAGCTCAAATTGCAGGATCAGTCGTGGGTAGCTGCCTGTTCATGAAAGGAAGAAACTCTGAACATGAGGTCCCAAGGACACTTGGACAGATGCTGCAACAGCCCAGCACCAGCCTTCAGCTGATGTACATCAGCAGAGCTGCACTGAAATCAGGGGAGATGCATTTCTTTCACAGCTTGACTTCTTGCCTCAGAGGTCTTACTTATCTAATATACCCTAGACAAAGGGACACATCCACACAGCATTGTTTGGCAAGAGACATCTAAAATAATGTGTGGCTTGCAGAGGGGCTCCTGAACTTAATCCACAGTGGAAACATTTTGTACCAGTGTCTTAACTCAGAGGAGAGAATGGATGATGTTTTCATCTGCTCTTAGCACAACACATTTTCTCCACTGTGAGGGGACATTGCAAAGTTCAGTCTTATCTGGTGGCTGAGAAATAGCACAAGATTTTTATCTCCATTCCAGAAGGCTCTGGCTTATATCCAATAGCATCCAATACTTTATCATCAGACGGAATTAGACCCCTACATGCATTACTTGTTATCTTTGATACCCATGTCTTTTTGTGCTCAAAAAAAAATAATCAGTGACTTCTTTAAACTCCATTTTTCAGCTGGATTACTGGTATTTTCAGGAGATATTTCTGCTGTTGAAACAATAGTTCCCTTTGAAATGTAGAAACAAACCCTGTGTTGTCTGTGGGCTGTGTACACTACAGTAAACAACAAAACACTTATGTTTAGAACCTGGTCATTCTGAGGAAGTCCAATCCCTATTCATAGTGGTTGTGATTGGAGAGAAGAGAATTTACACTGATAATGAAAAAGACATTGAATTCTAATGTACCAAGGGATCTTATTCTATCAGGACAGAATTGTAATTTACAAGCAAAAGTATATTTTAAAAGTTAGTTTTACTCCCAGTTACTGTGAACATGGATCTCTGCACACCTGGTAGGAGGGGACAGTTTTTTTGGGTGGATAAGGAAAGACGTGGAGATAAAAGAAGGTAATTCCAAATCTATCAAATGAATATAATGTATCAGAATCTCCATCTTTCCATGGACTTCCATCTTACACAACATCCTGATTGCAACTAATTGGATTTCAGCATGTTTCTGTCCATCTCTTTTTGTGAGATTAAGATTTGCTAAAGACTTCACACATTCAGGCCCAGAGAAGGGAAGGAAGCTATGAGGAGAAATACCTGAGAGCTTTTCTTGCCTTTCTCTTTCACTGATATACCTGTTTCCTGCTGGGTCTTTGAGACGAGGGTATAGTAACGTTCCACTGTGTACTGAGAGAGACGCAACTTTTCTATGCCGTGGACAGAATCGTTTCCTCTCAGCCACGTGAAGATGACATCGTTTTCATCATATCCCCCTAAGGAGAACATAGAGACCCAAATTGCTGTGGTTTAGCCAGGAAACCCAGTGGTAAAAAAAAAGAGGATACAGATCCCCCTGAGCCCCTTACAAACTGGCAGGGGCACATTTCACTGAATTATCTATTCAAATGCTTAAAAATACCAGAAGAGGTAATTTCAGGTAGTCAAGAGCTTGGAGCTGAGGCTGCTGTGTGGTTCTGAACCAGGCTCAATGCCTGGGTATGCGCTGTCCAAGAAACTTCTTCATAAAGGCAGCTTTTCTACAAACCATTCCTCCTATCCCCAAAAGCTGTAAGTTACAGAAGGCAAATAAATGCATCTGACATTTAGGTAAGGCTGAATTCCTGCCTCAAAATGGAGGGACACACGAGATCAACAACTGAAGCAGTTATCAGTAAACTCCATTATATGCCAGCTAAATAATCGTCTCCAGGAATGTAAGTGACGGCATTACGTGACCTCAGGTTGGACTGGGCAATAAAGCTTGTATGGAGTCACCAGCCTGCCATTCACTTCAAAAATATCACTTCATTTAGGATCTCGCCAATTGGATTATTTTATTAAGTGCTCTGCTTTGAGAAGATGAGCAGGGACACTCGGATTCTGATAATAACCTCTTTGGCCTGGTAGAAGGAATAAGATGCAGTTGCAGCTCTGTTTTTATCTAATTGTGTTTTCTTATTTGATAAAATTACCAGAGCTTGACTGTGATGAACTCCTAAATTAGGTGTCCAGGGTATGAATCCCAGTGTAGAATCCTCAGCGTGTGACTTTGGGAAGTTTCTAAGCAGTTTTATACATTGTGGTTACTCAGGAAAATTTTATAATAAATGATAGATCGTTGTTAATTCATCTGGTGTGTATTTAAATAGCATTATTTCTGGGCACTTATCCTAATGAAATCTCCAGTGGGCATTGTGCATGTAATTTCATTGGAATTATACCACAACTGAGCATGACGCAGGACCCAATCACTTTTCAAACAGGCCCAGTGCTTTAGCAGAAGAGGCCAATAGTTATTTCAGGAACTATTCTTTGTAATAAAGTTAACTATGGTGAACTAATAGGATTTTAATGTGAAAGTAATATGTGCTTCCCTAGGTGCTTCATGCTGCAGACCCAGAAGTTAAAATCTGGTCTTTTTACTATTGAGATTTTTGATGTTTCTTTTTGTGACATGAAGTGGGAGATGGTTGCTTGCTTGTTCTGGAGCTGTACAGATATGGAAAAGCAGCACTACTCTTGCTGAGATCCTGGCTACAAGCCCTGGAGTGTCCCAGGTTGTCCTGGAGCCCTTCCCAGCAAGCTTTCCTGAGAATGAACTTTTAATTAAATGGAGAGCAGAACTCACTAATTAATCCTTTGTTTTTCTTTTTAAGGCTTCCAAGGCTGAGACTCCTTGTGTTGACCAGGGTCCCATCACCTGTGTTGCTGCAGCAGGCAGGCTTCAGGGAGAAGCACGTACCATGATGTTGGGTTTGCCTTAGTATCTGTTCATACATTGAAGAGTTTGTTCAACTCATGTTCTGGTAAGAGCCACCCTTCACACTGTGTTGTTGCAGTGAAGGTTTGGGAGAGGCAAAGATAGGTCCTTGCTGTACTCTGTCCCGTGCACTTACCTCGCCAGTTAGTTTTGAAGAAGCTGTTTGGGCAAAAGGGACCAAATTTGGCAGATGATCTGTTGTTACTTCATCCTTTCTGTTGAACAGAATTGAACTATCTACACTTTAATATCTTTTTATGTAACTTGCAGTAACAGGAATCCTCTGAACTCTGGATTACACCACAGATGAAGAACGATGAAGCAAAGTTGTTTTCTTTTGGGCATGAATATTTGCAGGAATAAGAGTCTACTCCAGAAAGCCACTGGGATCAATCCATATAATCAAGTTGCATAGTTACATATGAATAAATGGATGATTTTTCTAGAATGTTATACTTACAGCTTTCTAGCTGCAGTCTGCAGGTCTGTGTGTCCATGGGATATTTTGACAGGTCCATGTTACAAGCAACGGTTGTAGTGATCCTGTAGGAAAAGAAGGAACTCTGAAAGTTGCAATAAAACCATGTAATGAAATAGCTCTGTTTTTTATAGCAATCTAGACCACAAAGACTCTGCTCTGGTTTTAAATGCTCTGTCATTTAGATAATTTTGACCTATGTAATGAGTGGATTGGTATAGTCCAGGAGAACCCTCCACAGGATGATGTGTTCTCTGCAGCCCACTGCTGAAAATGTAACCAAAGGAGGAATTTTGCTTTCCTGTGGTGGGAGATTTGGTGTAGATTTACATGTTTTCCAGTGCTACAGTTTGCATCTCATAATAAGTCACCACTTGTCACCTGAGGCACAGTAAATGACTGCACGCATACTCTGGCTTGCTCGAATGTGGATTGTAAATGAGTTTTACTTTGCAGTTAAGGTAACTGGGACACAGTTACCATGAGCTGAGAAGAGATAACACTGCATGATTTCCTAACACAATTACAGAACACAGCTCTGCAGTATTTTTACAAGTACACTTTTTGCTAAAAAGGAGAAATCATGGCTACATGCACTGGGTAAAGAGTTTCCCATTGCCTGTTAAACAGTCACTGTTATGATACCCTCTCTCCATTCCTGTCCTGCCTCCATCTGATTTGACTGGACTTCTTTATGGTAACACCTCAACATGCGAGCTTTGTGAGCAGGCGCTGTTCTCAGGACACAACATGTACCATGGTGGGGAATCCTGAGCCTTGACTGGCATTTCCAGGTGGCCCAAAGAGGGGGTAACAGATCAGAAGAGTATTGTCACAGTTGGCTTGTTGATCCCAGGCTCATTACCGGAGATAGCGGGTATCTGCTCCTGTCCAGTGTAATTCTAGAAATAAATCCTGACCCAGCAGCAGCAGCAAAGCAAAGGTGGCTTTACCTTAAGGCATACAAGATAGTGCCATTAGAGAACAATCTTATGAGGCGGTTCCCCACGGTGACATCGTGCAGGAAGGACTTTTTGGACTCCACAATGTAGGTGTCTGGTACCCAGAGCAACTCCGCTAGCCGAGCATCCAACGTGAAGCTCTTGTTGCCGTGAAAGACCAAGCGGGGGTCTGTCCAGCGCTGCCGCAGATAGATGGTAGCTGTGTAATCCTGGGATTACAGAGAGGAAAAGCTGTGAGGATGCATGTCCAGCCACCTGCATGGCGCCTCTGTGTGTGACAAGTGGCAGAGCACAAATTTAACCTGTCCAACCTCAGCTTCAAATGCATGCAGTAAATCTGATTGATGGGTTTTCATCGTAGTTTTATTTCCTGTATCATATTTCTCACATACTTACACTCTAAGGTGTAGAGTTTGAGGCCGAAAGATTATACTCGTATACTTTTTCTAATGAGCTGTTATTGTCACCGATACTTTGGTGTCCATTTTGCAGGTAAGAGAATAGATGGGCAGTGCACACATTCAGCAAGTCATTGACATTAATAACCACTTGTTGTCTAGAGCTGGAAGATTACTCATGTACTATAAACGTGATCATGAAAGACATCAGCACTTTGGAGAACAAATGGTAAGCAAATCCAATGTGTTATTTCACTGAGGTCTTAACAAACCCAAACAAATAAACCCCCCAAATTTGTAGCATCTTTTTTAAGAGTTTTTGTATCTAAGGATGGAGTTTTGTATCTAATGGAGTTTTGTATCTAATGGAGTTTTGTATCTAAGGGCATTAGGATTAACTTGAGGTCAGCCTGCCAAAACCTACATGCAGTGACTGGAGCATTTTTACAGTGCCCCGTCATAAAAGAGTAATCACAGTACTTGGCTCTGAAGAGAATTAGTTACTGAGCTGCTGGACAGACCCATGGCATTGGTGCCCTATTTCACTTCCTTCCTTGTAGACAAAGTAAATGCAGCCAGTAATGCCTTTTATTTTCCAAGCATCTTGTCACAGGCAGACTGATGCTGGCGATAGTGTTAACAGTGTGAAGTCACTATGTTTCACCACAGATAATGCTGCCAGTCTGTGGAGGATGAAGCTGTCCTGTTTAATTTGACCTTTAATTTGTAAAATGCTGTAAGAGAAAAGGTCTAAATAAATACCTGGTATCAGCTTTAGCTCTTGCAACTTTTAAAACTTTACTGCCTGTGACAGAGGAAAAACCATGTCAAATAATGCACTGTTACGGCTGTCAGTTCAGTGAATTCTAACAGTGACTCAAGTGAAGACTCTTGGTTGATTTTCCAGCTTTTATTGAGACACAGAGTAAGCTTCTGTAGTGCTTTCCATGCAGCCAGAGCAATTTAAATGGACCGTTGAGAACAAAAGCTCCATAAAAGGAGCTATTTTACAAGGCCCTTTACTCAGGTTAGAGATATGTGAATAATGATTCTGTTGGTTCCCCCCATCCCCAAAATGAACAATATTTTATTTAGTGAACTTGTTTAATTTGTTGGGGGAGAGGATAAGGAACAAGCCAGTAGTGTTCATGAAAGTGCTGGCATTAAGTGTTGACATTGTTCCTGATTGAACCTTTATGTGAAACTACTGCATTTACCCAAGTTGCCCATAGTTTTGGTGAACCCAAAACAGGCGTTTTCAGCAGTCAGTGTCTGAAATCCAGCTGTTACCAGAAGTGGAGGGAACCACACTCAGCACTGCTGGGAAGATGTTTTCTGTATATTGGAAACCGTGTGGTTTTTTCCCCTTGGGATCACGAGACCTTTGAGCTCAGCCTGTATCACAGCTCAAAACCTCATTTCTCCTCCCTGAGAAGAAACCCTGTTTGTGTCTTCAGTCAGCAGCAGCACATCCAACAGAGGCCTACCCTGCCCAGAGGGCTCCTACACACAGGAAAAGGACAAGAAATGTCACACAGGAATGACTTCTGCAGTTTCCAAGTGGCCCAGTTTCCAGGATGCACTGAGGTTTTGCCCAGTAGGACCTTTGGAGCCATCTATATTTACTTAGAAGCCCACATTACTTTGTTATCTTTGCAGTCTGCAGTCATAAATGAGCTGTGTCCTCATCACACTTCTGAAAGTGGTCAACAGACACAGAAAAGCAAAGCAGCTTGAATGTGACAGTTTCTGGGCTGAACACACAGGAATATATGACAAGTTTCTCAGGCAGATACTGCTCTTACATGATACAGAATTAAGATTTCTTTCACTTACCATGTCGCTCTCAGATATACTGGAAATACTTGCAATGTCCAGACTCACTGCAACTTGAACAGGTTCTCCTGTGGAGGGAAAGAAAAGCTAAAGCAGAGAGAAGAGTTCAAGGCACAATGAAACCACCCAGGGTTGTGTGGAGCATGGCACCCCTCCAGCGTCACATGCTATCCCTAACACTTGCAGAAGCCCTTAGAGGCACAGCTCCAAAGCATTAGACTCACAAATGACACTGTGATCCAAAATGAAGTTGTCACTGTTGGGGAGTTGGAGTCCTGTGTTTGGTGATGGGAGCAGAGAACAAATACCCACGAGCACCAGCTGGGAAGAGCAGCAGTTCCAGAGCACTGAAAGGCCACTTTAGATAAGCATTAGCCACAGGGCAGTCAGCCAGGGCCAGCCCGTCCCTTGTCACCCAGCCACAAAACCCGCACAGCGGCAAGCACGGTCAGCTGTACTGTTTGTCATACAGGGCTCTGGAAGGGCCCCCAACCACGCATTGATCACAGCCCTGTTTCTCAGAGAGGGAACACAAACAGGCAGAGAAAGTCAGTGATTCCCGAGGCCATGCACTGGGTTAAAGCCCAGAAATGCAGCAGCCTCTGTCTCTTTGTAGTTACTGTATTAACGGGTCTATTTAAAAGCAGATTTTCGGCGCTCAACCCGGGCCCCGCTAGTTCCAAGTTCCATCGCCAACCGGTAAAACCCACCACAGGAGGGCAGCTCCTGCCCAGGAATTGCCGGCGCTGGGCAGAGCTCTCCGGGTCCTGCCGCAGAACAACCGGTCTGTGCCCGGCGCGGCGGTCAGAGCAGCAGGCCAAAGCCTTTCCCTTGGTCTCTGCCTGGTTTGTCTAATCCCGGGTGAAGTCGGGGCGCTGAGCAGGAATGGCGCTTTCTAAGACATCCCTCGCTGCCGAGGTGACACCGCGGCAAGGCCCCCCCTCGTGGGACGTGCTGAAACTCCTTTTCACAATCTGAATAGCATTTAGGAAAGTCCAAAGGACACAATGTCTAAATCTGTTTCCAGGTAGTTTTGTGGGGGTTTTGTTTGTGGGGTTTTTTAATTTATTTTTAGTTTGTAATTAAACTATTCAAAAATCCAAAATGTAATTTCATTTCCAGATGATGTGTATTTTTTTAAAGGAGCTGTCATTCATGTCTTCCATCTTAAGAGAGTCAACGAATGGTTTGTGTTGGAAGGGACCTTAAAGCTCATCCAGTTCCAGCCCCCTGCCACGGACAGGGGCACCTTCCACTAGAGCAGCTTGCGCCAAGCCCCTGTGTCCAACCTGGCCTTGTTTTCAGATATTTAGATATTTACACTTGAAGCCCACTCAAATTAATGACCAGGGTATATCTATGAGGACCCAGGGTCTCTGGAGGAGGTCAAACCAGAGTCCTGACTACTGTTTAGCATTTATAGTACTGGTAGGTGTAGGCTGGTGTAGATGCAGTTAACCTCTGTTATGCAGTTCAGAAGCACCTGTATAGTGATGTGACAGGATCTGGAGGAGCTTTTCCATCCTGCATGTGATCAGACGTTCTAGGCAAAACAAGATGGTAAATTCTGTATTGTCCCCATTTGGAAAAAGGAAGAAGCTCAAAGCTGCCAGTAGCAGAAGTCTACAGCCTGCCAGTCTGCAGGATGTACAATGGAAAACATCCAAGTCTTGGTGAAAGCACATGGGGAAGTTTTTTATTGAGTAGAATTACAATAATGGGTTCTGGCAAAAAAGTAAAATTCAGTAAAAAATAATCGTAACTGTTTTTTAAACTTTAATCAATACTTGTCAGGTGCCGAGCATCATTCTGAGAAACTCCAACAGCATTTGCCTGGAAAGTGGGAGACCTGACACCCAAAGTGGAATAGCCTCAGGTTATTATATATAGCCGACCCTCCTTCAGGTGCTCCCTACAGTTTTATGAGGGTTTACAGCAGGTTTACTTTGTGTCTCAGTGTGAAGTAAAATCATGTGTCAAGAATCAGTATTTCTGGCAAGGAGAATTGCTTTACTCCTCTATTGCCACAATCCACATTCGCTAAGTATATCCACTAGATACACATGAATCAAAATAAAGAGGAAAATCACAAGGGCCAGACTCTAAACAAAAGCATATACAGTTAGAGCTGAATTAAGCTACTTGTCAGGTCTTTCACAGAAGTGTAGAGGGTTATCAATTCCCTGTTCTTCACCTCATATATGGGCACATTCTCATGTCCCACACATGCATGCACAATTTCTTCAGCACATCAGTGGATGCACAGAGAGGAGGGCATCCCTGGCTACTGGCTGGCTTAAAAGAAACATGATCTTTTAAACTGGGGCATCCTAAAGAAAGCTGAAAGCACACTCTCCCCTCCACACAAGCCTTACAGACTGTTCTTCAAATGGTCAAATGCACAGCGCCAACGTACCACCAAAGTAGGGCCGGAGGTACTTGTTGTATCCCGTGGTGAGGTTCTCAAATCCAGGGAGGGATGCTGTGTCGGACACCTGGCCCAGGGAGCACCTCCTGGGGACACAAATACGCAGTTATATGTGGCTGGGTGTGCCAGGCACATCTGGTGTGCAGCTGCAGCTGTGTTACCAGCTTGTGCTCCAGCAGCCCAACAAACTGCATACAATGTTCATTAAAAGGAAGTCGATCACTGAAACCACAAGCACTTGTGCTCATTGCTTGCCTTGGCTGAAAAGCGGCATTCTGAAGAGGTGGAAAATGGCAGATTTCCTCAGCTGATAGGTACAGGTTTGTACACATGGTAGCTTAAGGATGTTCTTAACAACCAGACAAATCAAGCAAGGTCTATATATAACAGGTCTTAATAATAACCCACAATCTCTCCCTCCCCTCATGCAGTCTGTGTAAGGAAAATCCATTTCTTTTTCCTGCCTGCTTATGAGAACCTGAGACAAAAGTTACAGACCAACAGCTCCTCCTCCCTCATCACTAGTCCCCTAAAGAAGCTTTCATCCTCATGTTAGTGTCTGGCAGGGTCCCTGCAGCTACTCTCAGGAGTAAAACCTTGGTACACCAGAAGGAGAAAGGTAGAGCACAGAAAACTTCACAGACACCAGCAAAGCTTTGTGAGCTGAAGGGCTGAACCACCGCAGCTGCTGGGCACACAGAGGGCTCAGCTCTCACTGACACTGTCAAAATTCATGTTGTGTGGATGGACAATGGTGCTGTTACCTGGCATTAGGAGGTTGATGGATCTGTACCATCACACAGGCAGCTCCAGGATTAGGGGGCACTGCAAAAGGTAAGTTCTCTGCTGCAGTGTCCCTGTGTGGGCATGTGCTCACTTGGTGAAAATGAGTGGTTAAGAGTTTGCTGCTGCTTTGTGAAGGGCCGAAGGAGGTGGAAGGCAGTGTCTGTGCCTCTCCCCAGCACCTCAGCACCATGGGGCTGTGAGTAAGAACTCAGCTGTGCAGTTATTCACAGCTTTGATGATTTGTGTCTTCTGTTCCATTTCAACTTAGGTTATTAGTCCTGGGAGCTTTGCTGTGAGTTTTAGACCGAAAAGGCCCTTACAGCAGAACTGAATCGGTTTGTGCACAGTATAAACATAAACCATTGCAGAATTTAGGACTTACTGTTCCATGGGTGGCAGTAACACGGCTGGGAGCCCTGTGGGAGACACTTCCAGCCCAAACTGCAAGCTGCTGTGGTCCTGAACAGGAAATGGGGGTTGCACCGTTAATGTGCCTGTTGTGTTCTGGGGGCCTATGCAGGTTGCTCTCTTCTACGCCACATCCATTACAGCACTCAGCTTTCTCTGGATGGGTTGGCTAATTGGAACCATACTTTGCTTTTGACCCACATTATTTGTATGAGCTATAATTCAGCTGTTCCCTGTAAAACAAAACAAACACCCCGCTTACCTTTGGGTTGGAAGGAAAAGACACAGACTGAAGAAGCAGAAATAACTGCAGAACATATCTCCAGAGGTTATTTCTGTATTTGATGGGCTTCCCTATGAAGCTGAAAGGAAAGGCAAAGTTTAGTGATTTAAGGAAAATTGTTTTAAGGGAAGGGCACAGGGAAAAAAAGCCCTTCAGAGCCAGCACCATGTGCTGTGTGATGTTTGACATTCCCGACACAGTGGCTCCTGCCCTTTCTTCTAGCCTGTGTTACTGCTCCCTTAATACTTTCCACATGAAAGACACTAGTGACAACTCCAGGCCTGGAGCCACTGACACAGCCACCACATTTTAGCTGCCATTTTGTGGCAGCTTTTCTTCTTTCTGCACGGGATGGTGGTTAGCTGATGTTGAGAGTGGGAAGGGACTTGTTAAAGAGAAAAGGGTTCAGATAGTTCCCAGAGGCCATTAGACTCTAAAGCCAAGTGGGATCCTGCCCATGTATGACAGATCCAGCATCTTTTAGTGCAGGGCTTCACAAATCTGCACATAAATGCTGCAGCTGTGCATCCCATTAGCTTGTACCTGGGATAAACCAAGCCACACTATGAACAGTGACGTTGGCAAGGCACTCGGCATGCAGAACGGGATGAAATCATTCCACTTAAAATGGGTTTCGTTGACTTTTCTGGGAGTGGAACCAAATCTTGGCTTCTGGCCGAAGACTCCAGGGGCTTATGCTGTCCATGGGGCAGGCACCATGGCAGCAGCTCTTTGCTGTGCACTACTCTGCAGTGCAGCTCCCTGCCTGGAATGCTGCATCAGATGCATCCCTTTTCCTGAGCATCCAGACAGCCTTCTGCCACACTGCCAGTGTGTGTTGCCACGGGATGGGATGGTGAGTATGACACTGCCATAGCAGCCAAGGGGAGATGGTTACTCAGCCATTGTTAGTTTGAGCTGCACACACAGTACTGCCTGCCCTGCCCTACTACACTGTTGGAAGCGTACCCTGTGTGTCAGAGCTTTCCTGCAAATACAGGCAACGCAACATCATCCTTGGATGGATATGAATGAGTCTTTTTCTTTTTTATGCTGTTACAAATTGGGAATGACCATGCAAATCTTTAGTCCCTGTACCTTGGCACCACTGAGAGTAAGATCTCAGCGTCAGATTCAGAGCCTTCTCCATCACACGCAGTGGTTAGGACCTCAACTTCAAACCTGGTTGTTCCACAGCAACCCCAAAAGCAGGAATGTTCTGCTCAGGTTAATTTCTTCTTGGCAGCTCACTGCAGTCCAGAGGACACTCTGCCTTCTCCACTAGTTGTATGGTTCTGGTGCCATGCCATGGGGCAGCAGGGCTTCAGGCCAGGAGAACATCTTTGACCATACGGAGCCACTAAAAACATCTGAACATTCAAGCGTCACAAATTCAGGGAATCCCACTGGAGAAAGGCTGTTGTTCAAAACCAGATACACTCTAACATGTGTCCAACATCTGAATTCCTAACAAGGCTTTGCACTTCTAGTCCTCCCTGTGAATACGATGTTCAGATGTTTCCAGTGCCGTGTGTTCCTCACTATAATGTGATCATGCAGGGATAGAGAGGGGATCATCTACTTGCCACAGCAATGTCAGACCACAGCTCTGATGGGAAAGAAGAAGGATTAGTCCAGGTAGTTTAAAGCATAACTTAGAGGGAGAAAAGATGAGTTTATAAATTGGCATTTAGTTCAAGTCTGAGGATTCATGAACAGCTGAGGAACCCCTGGTTCGCACAGGGACTGGGGTCGCTAGAATTGTGGTGCATGAGTTTCATTCTACCTGATCCTAGTTACTAAGCCCTTCTTTTGAAAAAATAAAAGGAGCCAAATTCTGTTTATTCTGACTTGTGGATGGAGACCTTGAGAAGTAAAAAGCCCTCCTGGGACCCTGTTGCCTTGTCAGGTAGCTGAAGAGAAAAGCACACTGCAGCATGTGCTACCATTACCTAGTGAAGACAGCTGGAAGAAACCAATGCAGGTAAATGCAGAGCTGCTGCCACAGACAGTGAGCTGCACAGCCTCCGTTTCTCTGCAACTCTGCTAATTCTTAGCGAAAGAAGGAAAATCTCGTTTTCCTCCTTCAGAGGATGGCTGTGAAGATAATAAATACATCAGAGACTGAAACAGTGACAGGGGGATCTGTAAGTACCCAAGAGAGCTAGAAACAAGGCATACCAAAGCACTCATGGGCAAGAAAAGGGAGTATCAGTGCGCAGAGCTGAGTGTATCCAGAGCATCCCTTTACTATGCAGCATGTCAGTTAATACAGTTCAGTTCTGCTTTTAGAGTGCAGGAGTTTCGACCAGTTCTGTTATACAGCACACTGGGAAGAAATGGTTACAAGATTGTGTGTTTATGTTTCTCCATCCAGATTTTAGTTTACTTTCATAGAAACAAAATAAGAACCTTAAGCACTGTTCAATCTGGACATTTGCTGTGGTCACGGAAGCACGGTGCAGACAACGCCAGCACAGCAGGGGTCATGAAGGCAGCTAGTACAGCTAGGGGAGAGACTGCATCCAAAGTGACAAAGTTACATAAAAATCATCCATTATGTAGACACAGAGAGAATGAAAACCAAGAGGATACAATGGCTCCCTGGCTCAGCTCTGTGCTCTCCCTGCTGAAAGTGAGCATTATACAAAGATCCAGGTGTTATGATAAAACAGCTCCAACTAGAGTTCTCTGTGGAAGCCTGTGTCCACTTCCATAGGATTTAATGAAATCATGTTTCTTTACACCAACCAATAGCAGTGTGTCTCCTGCTACAGCTCACTCTGTGCTTCCTTACTTCTGCTTTATTCCTCTGTCTCTGAAAGGGTGGTAAGAGTGAAAACACAAAGGGTGGAAAAATCCCTGACAGCTTCAGTTCTGTTTACAGGTTACAGGGTATAGGGTAGGAGAGTTGTACACTGTCACTGATGGGGCCTGGAGTGGTGCCTGTGTAACCCAGAGTGACACACTCCTTCCCCTGAGCATTAACTACTGGGAGGGACACAGCAGAACCACTGCAGTCCTGCCTTACCTCCCACTTCCCATCTGGAAGCATCATCTGTGTCTCATGGCACAGAACAGAGGATTAGCATATGCTCCAGTTTTCTGCGTGCTGATGACAATGCGAGCATTTCGGAAGATCTAACAAGCCACCCACAAAACCCAACCAACCAACCTGTTTACTAAGAGTACAATAATAATTCACCATGTCAAATTTAACTGGAGCCAAATTGCTACGACTGCAGAACATGCAACACAGACACGCCTGCATCTCAGAATGAAACCCGGCCAGGGAAGAGAGAGAAACAGAATACATGCCAAAACACAACCAGTTTGCATTTCATTTGCCAGTTTAGGTGCTGCCTTTACTCACTACACAAAGTGAAGATTTCCGTGATGAACTCGGGCAGAATGCATCATTTCCCCTGAAAGCTCTGCAGGAAGCCCCCCAAGGCTGCCTGCGCTGTGGGCAGGGGTGGCTCAGCCCTTGTCCCACATGCCTGGTCCTAGCACAGATCCCGGCATGGAAACACCAGCCTGCCTGGACTACGCACAGGTAGTTCTGTATCCCAGAACTCCAGCAGCCATTTCACAGGGGTGTTTTCACAAGGGCTCTGATTCCCAGGATGAGGTTTGATGGACATCACAAGGGATGAGGATGCTTATTTTCATCTCAGACACGGTGAGATGGGGATTGGCTTTACCCTGGCTTGGCTCTGCGGCTGGAGCAGCACAGCCCTGGAAGCAGTTTCCCAACCTTTCCTCCACCCAGGCCCAGTTGTGTTGCGCAGTGTCTACACAACCAGCATATAGGAATGGGCTACAGAGAGAGCAGAGGCAGAGACTTCCCCTTTTGCTCCCTGTATTCACTGCTGTGGAACAACTTTCCAGGAGGAAGCATCACTACACCAGCACCACAACCACCTTGAGGCTGTGCTGAGCTTTCTTTGGCCACTAAGATGAAAGCAATAGTTGCCAAATACAATTACAAAACAATGAGAGGCAGAAACCATCATACACCCAGGACCAGACTTCGCTGGCTTTGCCAAAATGTCACTTCAAGGTCAACACATTTGTTTATTTGGAAGAGGTCTGCAGTGATTTAAGGCAGGTAAAATCTGTCTTTCCTTTTTAACATTTCTTTTTCCCCCACCCAGCCTGAACTGTGAGCAATGAATGATGAGTGCTGTGGGGATGTGTGGATAGGGGTTGTTGTAAGGACAGGGTCAGGGCATGACAGATCTGTGAGAGTCAGGTATTCAGTGATTTATTATGACAGTTGTTCCAATTTGAACTTACTGAGCAAACAAACCATTAAAGGCTTCCATGTTCAGTTGATCTAAAATGATTTGCCTCTCAATTCCCTCAACTTTAAATAACATATATATATATATACTTTAAAGCTTGTTCTTGCCTGAAGAAAATGCCAAGACATTTAATTGCTATCATTCTAATTGCTGAATGGTTTAAATCTTGTTTGGCACGCCAGGAGAAAATCTGAAGTAACTAAAAGGAAGAAAATGGAGTTAACAACAGGGAAACATTTTTGTGCAAGCCACTCTCAGTTATTTGGCACTGAATTTACGCAGAATGGACCCAGTTATTAGAGAACCAAAGAGCCCGTGGGATCCTGTCACATGTCAGCAGGCACAGGAGCTCGCTCCTGGGCTGGCCACCACAAAAAGAGATGTTAGAGGGTGATGGAGGAGAAAGGAGTGGGAGAACCTGGCACCAGGGGGTTGGTAACACTGCAGTTAATAGTTTCTCATGGTTTAGCCTCAAAAATCTCTTCTCCTGCTTATAGTACTTTCTGACTAAAACAAGGGATTGAGAAAAGGTCTCAAGTGTGTTAAATAAGAGAAGACAACGTAATTTTGGATTGAATGTCTCATGTTTGCTCAAGTCTTTCATGGTTTTGTATTCTGTCAAAACCCCAGAATGTTTCTGTTTTGGTTGGAACAGAAACTTTTTATGTGCTGCTGGTTTCCCTGTTTGATAAAATCTCGATTCAACCACCTTGTTTAATAACGTGACCAAGCCTGGAAGGTCATTCCTGGCCCGGTTTTCCCTGCAAGAGCAAGAGGTGCGTTGCAGAGGCCAGGCCCCACGAGGCGCATGCTGGCCATGGTGGGGTGTGATGCTCACCCACAGACCCAATGGCTTTCTGTGCTCTTTGGCTTTTTCAGTTTCCCTGGGTGGGTATCAGGAGTCACCGACACTTGAACAGGGGACTTCATGGTACTTGCAGAAATCCTTCAACTGCATCCACCTGTCAACTGCTCCTGGTGAAAACCAGATCCTTTCCATGCATGTCACTGCCTTACATCACATGGAAAAATGACCTCTAGGTTCCAGAAGCAGCGGCCGTGGCTGAGGGGACTCCAGCACATGCTCGCTGGAGGCTGCCCTCACTGTGTTCAGTGCCCCCTGACCCCCAGCACTGCAGGGGGACCGGCTCCACTGTGGGGGACAGGGATGAGCTCCTGCACCCCCAGGCCACTGGCAGCCACCCAGAGAGAGTTCCAGCACCAGGCAACAAACACAGAGCCTA